AAGTTTCTACCTGATAAATACTAAATGTTGCATTAATAAAAGTAGAATAATTCATGTGCTCTGTTGGTCTATTATTCAATTTTGAAGTTGATCATTATCTCTAGGTTTGGGGCTTCTAATTGAAAGCAGAACTTTAATTTTAATTTTATTAGTTATTAAACATATATTTATCTTTATTTTTTTAATAAACAAAAAAGAAACGACTATAAAATTTATTCTGAAAAATGAGAAATAATAAACGAAAACAAAAAATAGAAAACGAGATACATAAAACGGCTATCAACGGACTTTAATGATACAAATATATACTACTAGTGTTAGAAAGGAGGTGGGGGAGATTTATGAATCTTCTATGGCCACTGATACGGCCTCTTTGGAGGTGGTGGAGGTGATGACTTGAATCTGTAATATGTCTTTTGCGACGGTGTTGAGTCGTGGGGAAAGGCGTGGTAGATCGGAGGTGGCGGAAATCTAAAGGGATAATAAGGTACTATTGGCCTTCCCTGCAGCGACGGTGGCGGTAGCGGCGGTGATGTTTGTTGGTAAGGCTTCTTGGGTGGTGGTGGTGGGAATATAAAAGGGTAATAAGGGACTATGGGTCTGCCGGTGGAAAGTGGCGACGGCGACAGCGACGGAGGAGAGGGGTGGATGTATTGTAGTGCAGCAAACTTTGATGGCAGAACTGGAGAAACCAATGCCATGAGGAAGAACAGAACAAAAGGGGGCATTGCAATTGCAGACACCATTATTCTCTCTCCAATTCACAAGATTGATTTTAGATCTGCTTCAAATCTTGGCCTCCCACGCCCACATTATATATGAAAAATAAATACATTAAAAGGAAAAAAAAAAAGGTAACTTTCAATTTTGAATCTAATAAATTTCTATGTTTTAAATAGTTTTTAATTTTATATCTCGTTATTTTCGATTTTATATCTACAAGATCTTTGACTAACATTTTTTTAAAATTTACGAATTTATTATACACAAATATTAAAAGTTTAGAGAATTATATTAGACACAAATTTTAATTTTATGTAGAATAAATTGCTTAAATTTAAAAATATCAACTATATTATTAGTGATGATATATTGGACAAATTGATTTTTTTTAAAAGATACCAAAACCATTTTATTAGAAGTATGTGAGAAACATACATCAAAGAGGAGGCTATGAAAGCACTCCAATTAATTGAAATTTTTAAAATATGTTCCGCTCTTAAAGTTAAAAACTAAAATTTTAGAAGCTTATTATACACCTTTTATAATTTAGGAACTCATTGCTTACGAATTAAAAAGTTGAATTACTAAATTTATAATTTAACTTAAAAGAAAATAAAAACAAAAGCTTTTAAATAAGGAAGAAAAAAACAACTTGTATATTTACCCATACACAACTAGTTTGAAAATTCTCTCTTTTTTTTTGTTTCTTCTTTCTTTTTGAGACGGACAAGAAGAGCACTAAATTCTTGTCTCCATCTATAGCACATGTACAGTCAAATTTGTATAGCTAAATTAAGTAGAGGATTGGATTGATCAAATTAGTTTGAATTTTATTTGATTTCTCATGGCCAATTTATAACAGTATAAGTTTGACTTTAACAATTTGCTAAGTTATTGTAAATTTCACGATACATATTTCGATTTGGTCCAAGATTTTAGATGTGTCGATGGAAATGTCGAGGTCTCAATTTTATGAATATCGATAATGGATATTTCTGTAAAAGTAATAGAAATTACAAAATTAAAAAAATATTTAAATTAACAAATAAACATTTTTATGTTTCTAAATAAGTTAAAATAATTAATATTAATATTATGTATATATTAGTGACATTTTGTTGATATTTTTAATATTTTGTCGATTTTTTTATACGATGATGGAAATGTCGATTTACCCATCATATCGATGTCGAACCCATGAAAATATAGACATATCGATGGAAATATCAACGTATCGACGGATATTTAGAATCATGGTTTGGTCTCAATAATTTTAAAACTTTTACTTTAACTTTATAATTGGTTCTCTATAAATTTAATTTCAAAAATTTTAATTGAATGGTTATGATCCTAATGATTCGTAACTTATTTCCTAATATTTTCACTCAATCATAAACTATAATATTGTAAAATAATATAGTTAGCTAAACGGAAGACATCAATTCATCGTCACATAAAAACATAAAAAGATCTGTTATGTGATGATGAATTGATGTTTTCATGGTATGGCCTAATGGCTAACAAGGATCTATGTAAATAATAAAAGACTCAGAGGAAATTGATTCAAAACATGGATATCTACTGGTTAGTCAGACAATCAAATATAGTAGGGTAGGGTAAGGTAGAATAATCATGAGTAAGATTTTGGTGCAAAATATTGAATATGGAGAATAAATTTCAAGGGTATTAAATATATATGCCTCAAATAAGTTTTTCTTCTTTTTCTTTTTAAGCATATTTGAATTTCAATACCCATTTTTTGACTTATTATCCACTAGCCATGAGTCAATATGAATTGGATATGTCTGCATTATCACGTTGATACACGTAGTCAAAGTTAGGTTGTTTATCTATTAAAACGCTTTATGGCTAAATGACAATAATTGAAATTGTTATTTTTTAAAAGTTTAGACTACATTTTAAATGAAGTCCCTCCTACTTGGAGAAATTGTAATTTCTGTACCTTCAGTTTTTAGATTTAGAAATATGGACCATTTTACCATTTGAAATTACATTTATACTCATTCCTCTCCAACTCTTTTCTTTTAACTTATATACCTTTAAAAAATTTATTACTTCGTCTATATAAGTTTTTTTTTTTTAATATATGTGAGTATTTAGATCCGCTTACACACATTTCAACTAATTTTATGAAACAATGGTTAACATGAATTTGGATCCTTCAAATATCGATATTCAGGTTGCTTTCTCCGATTAATGATTTTTTCTTTATTCTTCGTTATTCCGTTACTGCTTTTATCTTTTTCACTATTATTTTCTCTCTATCCAACTAATGCATTTCCACTTTTCCTCTCTTTTCATTCCTACTCTCTCTCCTTTCTTTTTCCAATTAATATTTTTTTTCTTTTAACTCTCATTTTTCTTTCATTGGTTAAAAAATATGTTCATCTTATTTTCATTAAAGTAATGATTTATTCTTTGTAAATATGTTTGATTCTAGTTGTAAACCGTAACCAATTTTAAAATTCAATCATGTACCTGGACCAAATGATTTTTTTTTCATAAAAAAGAAATGTGTTTTTATTGAATTCTTGATCTCCTATTTATGTTGTTAGATAACCAACCAAACACAACGTCCTAAGTTTTGTAAACATTTTTTTTTTTGGAAAATGAATTGTTATGTCGTCTATGGGTGAAATTAGGTACTTTACCCTCCCTCAAATCACATCTTCTTATCTCTCTAAGTCTTCTCTCTGTGTGAAATCATTCATCTTTTCTCTCTCTTACTCTCTTGATTTTTTGACAATTATTATTCTTCTTCTCTCTCCCTCTCCCTCTCCCTACATTTAGATCATCTTCAACGAGTTCATCGAGCAGGTTTCACTCGTAGTGAAGCTTACATCACCATTCAAAATTACCTCACGAGAAACTCCTCCTCCCAAGCCAAGTGCCTCAAGGCTTATTCCATCCAAAATGATAACGGTTCTCACTAGAGAGAGAAGAAGACTAATTGCAAAGAGAGGGAGAATAATGAGTGATTTGACCAAGGGTAAAGTACGTAATTTCACGTAAAAATATACGCATAAAAAGTATAAAAAACTTTTAAGTTTTAAAAAAGTGGGCAAAAATATTCATGTAGAGTTCCATTCAAAAAGGTATGCCCAACCAAAAAAAAAACCCTTCTTCTTCCCCTTATGAAATATACAAATATAATAAGTGTTAGAAAGGGGGCGGGGGCGATTTATGGATGAACCTCTTTGGCCATTGATATGGGGGTGGTGATTCCGGAGGTGGCGGTGGCGGTGACTTGAATCTGTATTGCATCTTTGCCAGCGGTGGCGGTGGAGGCGACGGAGGCGGCGACGCATAAGGAGGTGAGGGGGATTTATGGATGAAGGGGTATGGCCGCCATTGGTATGACGGCGGTGGTGATAACTTGAATCTGTAATGCATCTCTTCCGGCAGTGTCGGCCTTGCCTGTAGAGGCAACGAGTGGATGTAGTGTGCAGCAGCAACTGCAACAGCAAATTTTGATGGCAGAATTAAAGACACCATTGCCATGAATATGATCACGAGGAACAAAACAATTGCAGCCCCCATTCTCTCCCAAATTCTTACAACTTGGGATGGCTTTTAGATTTACTTCACATTATATATATGAAAAGTATTTCCCTGCCTTTCCAAAAAAATTAAAAAATAAATAATGTTGAATTATAAGTCTAGTACATCAACTGTTTAACATTTAAATTTGTATCTATTAAGTTATTGAACTTTCAATTTTACGTCTAATAAATCTGTCACAACTTCTAATTTTGCTCCAGTTAATTAAATTTTGAATTTTTAAGTTTGTATCTACTCGATCCTTGACCTAATCAACATTTTTATAATTTATAAATTTATTAGACAAAAAATTAAAAGCCTTGAAAGTTATATCATATGCAAATTTTAATTTGTTGAATAGATTGATAAATTTTAAAACTATATCAAAACATGTCGGTGATAATTTAATAGACACATAATTGAAACTTCAAAATTTATTACACTTTCAAATGGATGAACTAATTAGCTATATAGTTGAAAGTTAAGAATCTAAAATATATTTTTTAAAGTTAAAGCTAGCACCTATTGAATACCTTTTAGAAAAAAAGCTTTTAAAATAAGGAAGAAAAGTAAAGATGGATACTTACCCAAATTCCATTTCCGACAAACTTTTCTTAAAAAATGTAAATGATTCCATTCCATCGTAGATAAGGAGCAGCTCAAGTCCCAAACAAGTATTCAACTTTTTTTTTTTATTATATTTTTTCTTTTCAGAGTGAGACAATTAGAGCATTAAATACTCGTCTCTGTGGATTCAAATTTGTAGGGCTTAGATGATGTGATAGGTTGGTCAAGTAAAATTGAATTTTATTTAATTGCTCTGACTCATGGTCCATCATAAGTTTGACTTCGACCATTTGTTAAATTGTAAATATATTTATCTCGAAAAGAATTTTGGTTAACTTTTCCATGATTTTTAAAGAAGGAAAAATAAAAATCATAGAATTAGCTAGGTCAATTTTTGTTATTTTTGTAGAAAATTTGAAAAAAGAATTTATAGATATATCGATTTTAAAAAAATGAAAAAAAAAATAAGTGAGATATTCAAACTCTAATTTTTTAAAATCAATTTTCTTTTTCAGCATTTTAAAAGTGCAACAATCATTCTATTATTTTGAATTTTTTTTAAAAAAAAATCTTTCAATTTATACATATAATTTATAAGTCTTTTTGACCTTACTGTCGCCAACAATTTCAAAGTTTATTTTTATTCTCAATTTATGCATTGTTGTTATTTACTATAAATCACTCTAAGAAATTTTATTTTTGGTAACGACATTTTTGACAACGTATTGAAATTTTGTTGCCATAAAATACTTTTGGCGACCAAAACTAAATTTCGTCGACAAAAATTCTGTATGGCGACGATATTTTAATTCGTCGTAAAAAATTGGGTCTAATTTCAAAATTCTTAGTCAAGACCTAATCCTGAGTAGTTTGTCCCTATTTATATTAACATGTTCATGTACATGGTCAAAACCTCATCATTTATCTATATTAAAATAATTTATAGCAGAATGAGAAACATGATAGTTATTTTTAGAATGAAATACACCCCTAAAATTTTTCTGAGACCAAAATGAGATTTTACACCGGTAGACTTTATCATTCATGCATCTACCAAACGTTGACTATATATTTACATCATGTCATCTCGTAAGGTGATTTTTCTTTTTAATGTGTGATTCTTAACATGTCCCCTCAAGATCGTGACTCTTTTTGGCTCATCAATCTTGGTCGGATCCTACTTTTGGACCGGTTGCTCGTTTGAACATTTTGGACTCTGATACCATATCAATGTTAATGAGGTTTCATTTCAAAACCAACTGTCAATGAGAGTAGTAGTTCATGTTTATTATAAATTATTATAAGGATATGGATTCCTTTACGGTATAAAGCCGCTAAACAAATTTATGCATCCACCATTTGCAAAATTTAAAAAAAAAAAAATTATGTATCCAGGGCTACAAACAAGCTAGTTTACCTTATCATGGATCAGATTATGATAGTATAGTATAGCGTTAGAAAGATGGAATATAATTCCTGTTTCACACAGTGGAGGAAGAATCTCTCCATTTTACATTATTTGCTAAACTTGTAATTAAACACACTCTCACTTCTCAGCTCTGATCTTATAAATGAAAAATAAGACAGGGGAGATGTAAATGATTAAAAGGCTCCCACCATTTTCACTTTCTTAACATCTTCCACAAAGAACAAACCCTAATTAATTTAACCTGAATTATTATTATTATGAGATGCTTAACAGCTGCAGCAGCAGTGTTAGAAAGGAGGAGGCGTTCCTTTAGAGTCGTACCTTATTGGCCATGGCTTGTGACGCTCAAGTGGAGGCGGTCGCCGCGGTGGCCTCGGCGACGACGGCCGGGACGATGGAGTTGCTGAGTAAACAAGTATGGAGGGAATAATGTGGTGTGCACTCAATTTTGATGCAACATCTATACACACAAATGCAATCACAAGAAAGATAATTATAACATAATTAGAGGACAACCCTATTCCCTTCTCGTTCTCATTCTCGTCCTCTCTCAAATTACAAAGATATTAGCCTTTGGATCTGGCTTTAAACCTTTGCCTCTCACCCCCACACTATTACTATAAATATGCGCGTGTTTGTATTATATTGAGTTGGAGTACATCTCATTGAGAATAATTCTTCTTTGAGAATTACCCCTCCAATAATTGACCGAGAATCACTTATAAATTATTATTAAATGTATCTGTTTTAAATTACAAGTGTTTTTGACTTGGCCAAAATCAATTTTATCTTTGTCAAGATAACTTCCTTTCCATTAATCATGTTTGACAAATTAAAATTTTGATTTTAAGAAAGAAAATGTTTTGCTCATTACTAGTTAGAAGCAACTTCCTTTTTACGGTTATTAAATATTTGACAAGAGAATGATACGATACAAAAAAAAAAATAATAATAAAAAAATAATAAGTTGTCAATTATACTTAAATCCATATATTTTTTCAAAAATCACCCACTCTATCATCATTTCCAAACACACTCAGAAGTTATTTTTGCATGGTCAAAATTACTTTTGTCCTTGTCAAAAAGCACTTCCCTTTTTCATTGATCATGTTAAAAAATAGATTTTAAGAAACTTTAAATTGATTTTTGAGGTATCACCTAGATATTGATTTTGAAAAATCAATTATATAGATGAATCTTTTTTTTTTCTTGTAAATTATTCGTTTTACCGTGACTTTCCAAGCACACCCTAAAGTCATTGTAAACATGTCCTTAATCTTCTTGTTATATTGGAAGTTTCAAATTTTCCACGCCACCCGACATATATTGACTGCAAAAGTTCAAAATTATTCAAAGTCGTGCATTGACATTGCATGTAGAAATTTAACATTGAGAACCGAATGATATTAGTTAATTTACCACTAGGAAGAAAAAAATCAACACAGGAAATGGTCAAAAAAAGTAGGCTATGTAGGAAAATATTGAAAATGAGCATCACCAACCAAAACCAACCAACTTTACACGCTCCCCCACAATTTGCTTTAACTTCTTGTCTTCTTGATCATGTCTAATGAGTATTCACGAAATAATTACATAATTTCAAGTTCAAGGAATAATAATGAGATTTTAACTCATTTCTCTAAAGTCTCTACTTTTAGAAAAAAAAAATTGCACATGAATATAACAATTTGTCCAAAATAATAGCAAATCTATAAGCTAAAAATATTTGCAAATGTATGACAATTTTTAAACCGAGCCCAAACAAAGATGCGTAAAAAATCGAAAAGACGCATCAACATACTCCAATGATGCATGTCTGTCGATGATAGATGCCAATCACTAATAGACATCTATCTAATAGAAGTGCTAGACGTCAAAGTGATAGTTTGCCTAACAACAAAAAAAAATGAAAAAAATTAAAAAATTAAAAACCAAAAATAGAAATCGTTATCAACCAGACCCTGAGTTCACGACTTAGATTTATAAAACTTGAATTTCCATTTGATGGAATATTTTCGTATTTTACGCTATAAATTTGCTAATTCTATATATTATAGATTTAGCCCATTATATTTTTCCTTCTCTTTGGTCTTCAAAATCCTCACTCTTTCGTAATTATAATATTACTACCATCTCACTTAATGGTTTCACCTAAAAAACTCATATCAATTGATATAATTATTTTCATTTATATACTATAGATCATGTCCTTTCCTAGTCAACGTGGGACTTTGCTTGCATTCCCCTCACAAATCTAACATTTTTTTTTGTGTATCTTTCTCACATATCTAAATGAATAGGCATGTCTTTTGCTCAAATATATCAAATAGGTCAAACAAATTAAGTCTGTTGGTAAAATATCAATAYGAATGTTATAACTATTTTTAAGGTGATTTTATTTGTTGGATAAGAAATTATATTAGCAGAAAATTGAGAAAGTATATTACACAAATAAAATAATAAAAGTACGTCATACATATTCATGGTTGATCTCAGCAGAGCGATCAAAACATTAACAAACCTTATACATCTCTCATCCAATATCTGAATTGTAATACTGAAATAAAATAAAAATGATGTGTGGCACAAACAAACTAGTTGATGGTACTCAAACTATACATATATATATATATATATATATTATCGGTGGAAGATAATTCAGGTTTCATCTCCATTTATTTCAAAATTAAACCTAACCGTGTAGCTAGCATTTGAACTTGTACATATAGATCAATCATGTCACAATTTTATTAAATCTAATATATTTTTAACGGTAGATATTAAATTATAATTACTTTAACGAGAGAGTAGAGGGATTAAATATGTTTTTTCAGTATTTATTAGCAATGATTTGCTACCTGCATATTAATGGAATAAAAAAATTAGAATCCTAATTAATTAATTAATTAGAATAGGAAGGAGGTGGACGCGATTGTGAGTTTTAACTTTTAACCAAACGGATTAAAGAAAAAAACTTCATTTTACGTTTTCTGTAACCGTAATT